AAGATAATAATATAAAAAGTATATAGGACTTTAAAAATTTCAGCGTTGGAAGGGGAAGGAAAATGGTTTCATGAATCCAGAAGAAATTCTGCCTACATTCACTATGGTATTTTCTATTTTGGTTTAGATTTCTAGAACACTCCTGTGATGAATCATGGCTTGTCATGGTGGTAAAACTGAGGCCCTGAATGTAAGACCAAAGGAAAAAATGGTATTCTTTGACCTGCTTTTCTTTGCTTCATTTTTTTACCTGCTCCTGGACATCTTCAAACTCTGAGCTGAGCAACTCTATGAAGATGGGCACAGCTCCTGCCTGAATCACAATCCGGGTCTGAAGAGAATTTCCTGAAGCAATATTTGTCAGTACCCAAGCTGATTCAAACTATAAAGATAAAAATAATTTTATTATCTTATTAGCATTTAATAGCTTGTTTTTAGCTATAACAATAAGGTTTTCTGTACATGAAGAAAAGAATCTGAAATCATTATTTGCACATAATCAGATGGATTCTGTATTACTTTTAAATGGAGAATTCCAGTAGAAATACTTCAGACTACAAGAATATTCAGGAGGTCAAAGTAGAACTGACATAAGACCATGAATGGAATGAGGGACTGCTTCATATGCTGACATGAATGATCTCCCAAGATACGAATGAGAAGAAAAGTGTAACGGTGTACATTAAGATAGTATCATACTATATTTTCTAAAAGGGTTAAGAAGGAATATATGCATTAGTTTAGTTATTGCACAGAATATCTCTGGAAGAATACTATAAGAAACTGTAAGAAGTAAGTACTTGTTACCTACATGGAAAGGCAGGGGTGAAAGGGAAATCTCATAAAACCTTATGTACCTTTTGGATTAAACCATGTACATTATCTAATAAAAAATAAAAGTAAATAATTTCTATAGGATAAGCAAAGTGTAAAGGGGAGAGGATGTTAATGTAAAATGTGCCGGATATAGGCACAGTAAAAAAGGCAAAAGATATTTTAAGTAATAAGTAGGCCAAAAGGAGTTAACTGGTATACAATTAATAGAAATGGCAACTTCAGAGCGTTAAGAGCTTCTGACAAATGAGAAGCCCCCAAACAAAGGCACAGAGTTTAAAACTTTTTTTAGAGAGCATTCTTAAAGTTAGGTAAACTGAAGATATGAAGGAAATTATAGCCAACAAAAAGTATAGCATTTTACTAATCTGCCCATCTCTGTACTAATTTGACTCTCTGGCCTAATATGGAGAAATCCAAGAATGACTCCTGAAATTCTATTTAAGAGTTCTTATTAAACTTTAGTTTTCTTTCCTTCTCCTGTTCTGTCTTCTACTTATCCTTAAATGAAGCACATATGCAAAAAAAATCAGTGGTATGTCCCTTGAAAGGGAGAGCAAAAAAGTCATTGAAAGGTGGAGCTGTGACTCTTCTAAAGCTTTTGGGTCAACTGAAAGGCAGTTGTCATATGGAAAACTAAATCATCCATCATTGGGGTTTGGGGAAGGAGGCAGAAGACAAGGAAGACAATCTGATTGACACAGTCCAAAGCCATGTGAATGCTAGCAAATTCACAGCAGAACACACTTAAAGGAGACATTACAAGAAACCTATAAATGTGACATACGCAAGTGAGACACAGTATAGTCTAGTAGCCTAACGGGACAATGATATTACAGTAAGCAGAAGGCCCAGACTAGGAGCACCACAGTTAAAGGGACAATATTTTCTTTTTGGTAACTTTGTTATAAGAGAAGTTCAACAGATTCCTAAACACTTGAACATCACAAAATAAAAATCCCATCATATATCACCTCCATAATTAAATCACTCTTGAAACCAGTGCTGAATTGAAACTTCGCATTTGTTCAGTACTTTGTATTATGAAAGCATTACTCACATACTCCTGTGTTCCTCACAACATCCCAGAGAATTCTGGCTTTTGTGGTTTATGAATGAGGAAACTATCAGAAAAAGGTCCAACAATCTAATGATCTGCGTAATGTTACACAGCCATTCAAAGAGGACTTGATTACCGTCTCCTGATCAAGTATGCTTATGAAGCCCGGCCACTCCGTTCTCTCTGACACATACGTGTAACACTGACAAGAATCTTTCAATTGCTTGGAGTTTGGGTATCTAGGGCAAGAAATTTCAAATAACAGTATGCCAGAGATACACGCCAGATTATTTAGGGGATGCTAAAAAAGAGAACGGTTCACCTAGTTTCTTCTGCTTTCTAGGAAAACTAACTAGCAGAGTTAAAATTGATTGAGACAGATGATGTGAATACAAAAGCCAAAAGCAAGCCTTCCTACCAGGCAGCAAGCTCCAAGTTTAACAAAGAGTTGTCAGATACTAGTCAAAGTAATGAAAACTGTGAGGAAAAAGCAGTGTGTAGAGAATGAGTAAGATCAGCATACATACCGATCCATATTAAAGAGAAAACAGACTGCAGTGAGATTTTGATGCAAATGAAATAACAGCAACCTGAGTAAAGGATTATTAAAGAATTATCAATGAGAAAAAATCAGAATACTAACTGCTGCAAGACTTCAAACTGCTATCTGCCTGTTGATGTTTAGTATCAAAGGTCTTACAAGAAATGAGAGGGAATTTCAGATGCTACTGAAGAGAATGAAATGGAGAAGCAAAACAAAATAGAGTGAAAATGATTAGAAAAATGGGGAATAAGTGAATAACAGGCTAAACACAGATGGGAGAAAATTGGCAATTAGAATATCTCAGCAAAAGAAGAACGTACCAGAATTACCTTTATTACTAAGAAGTGCACAATAATGATAACCTCTGAAAGCAAAATTCAAGGCCTCCCTTGGTAAGAAGAGAAATCGGAAAATACCAGGGACAGAGACAGATGAAGATGATCAACAGAACCAGAGGGGCGACTGAAAATCGTGTTTGTACATGAATAAAGCATTCTCTCTCTCTCACGCACACACAGTGATTACTCTGACATTTACCCTGTAAAAACTCATCAAGCTATATTTATGCCACTTTCTATGCCCATCTGTGTATTTGTGTGCTATGTACATATGTAGGAATGAGAAAGAGGAGGGAGGGAGAAAATTCCCCCCAGCATACAGGCCCTGTTAAAGTGCTGGAAGAAACAACTTTCAAATGTGTTTAATATGTATGTTTGTAAAAACTGGTTGTACTTCAAACTATGTAACATCTCTTTGAGTACTGCCATCATTTTGTTGTTGTTAATGTTTCGGCCTTGGGTCCCATATTAGAATCTAACGTGAAAGAGAGCTGTGAAATGTGGACGTCCTGTTGCAAAAATGACTGCATAAAGTTATGATAGAAATGGCCAGGAAAGGTAATATAAGTAACCGTGAAACTCAAAACATCAGTAACATGATGAATACAATCTAAGAAATGGCATCACTTAAGTAATAAGCAGTAGCCAAAGTACCTATAACCCTTACTTCCTCTTTTTGCTTTAAATTACTATATTCTTAGTGTTCCAAGAATGGTACCATGCAAGGAAAACTACCTGTCATGCTGTGATTGCTTAAAAATTATCAGTCCACTATTACTTTTCACTGTCCAGACTTGCTAAATAAGGCTACAGTTGAAATCTGAAGGACACACTGAAGATTTGATACTTTCTCTCTTCCCTTTCTCAGTCTCTACCTTCTGGTGCTCAGTTCCTTAAATAAGGAAAATGAGAATCCAAAGCTGAAGTACTTCTGACCTCCTATCAAGTTTCCCACTCCAGGTTGAGGTACGCCTGGTTCCCTTTCTCCATTTGGATCAGGACTCTGTTGCTGGCCACTTTGCCGGGTCCACTCTGGTTCCTAGCAAATGCCAGGCTCACCTGGAGAGCAAGTGAAAAGAGAGGCTCACATCAGAAAAATAAACCCAGATATCAAACTCTGCAGAGAACAGTGCCTGAGTCATCTGAGCAACCTTTTAAAGAAAGGTAGAGGGATCAATGAGGATGGGAAAAGACATAGGAGGATGAAGGCTTACTGCAGTTTATCACATTAAGCTTTTACATGGGACAAGAAAAGCAAAAATGGGGAAACTAAACCAATTTCATTTCAATTTACAATTTTAAGAGGAGTACCTAATGAATGCAACTAGGTTGCAATTTCCTTATTTCTAGCTGTTTTCATACTAAGCTTCTGTAAGAAGGTTTCAGAATGCAACATCTCAGCACTGCAAAGGACAGTACAAACATGCTGGGCCTGGATTCAAAAACCAAACAAAGTGGGCCCAGGGAATATACCATAAGGCAGACCAATCGCATATCAAAGGTTCAAGTATGTCTGAGGCTTACATGTCACCGAGCTTGAGAATGCTCTTAGGGAGATGAAACTATGTTTCCAAACTCCTAGATTCCACCCATGTTCACCTTGTTTGAAAGCAAAGGAGTATCTGGGAAGCACTGCCCAAAGCAGGCATTTTTATCTCCCTGGTGTGCGGTACCTCACTGATTTGGGCATAAGGAGAACCAAAATGTAAGTGAAAAGAGACTTCACTAGGATTCACAGTTCTGTATCTACAGAATGAAGGGATTAAGTTTGTCCACTTGGTTTATCAGTGAGTTTAGCTATAATTATGACCATATATTATTACTCTCTTTCTGGAAGAGAAATGGCAGAAGCCACATTCCAAAAGCACACTATTCAAATTTCTAGTAAGTAGACATACTACCAGGGACAACTTCCATCCTAGTGCTAAGAAGATACAGGAAAGAGTACCCTCTGAGCTGCCCAGAGCACGTCTACTTATGTGAGCACGAAGCCTCCTGGCTCTACGGTCTCCTTCAATATACTTGCTCCTCCTGCTTCTGGAGTGGTTGACATTACCCACTGCCCACACTGGAGAGAATACCATGTTGTACTTAAAAAGTACACCGAAGAAAACCTGAAGATGATGACCTTTATATAATAAACAGCTGGTTATCCCTCAGAGTCTTTGGACAGCTAAGTTGAAAATCATGAGGTGGTCACTTCCAGAGGAATGATTTCTCAATCTTTCAGCCTAATTATTAGTTTGCACAAGGGTGGAATCTGAGAATTTAGATAGACGCAAATTAGAGATTTCCAAAGGCTTTCGTCTTCAGAAGATCCAAGCTCTAGGATTAGAATCACAAATGATGTAAAATTTACATGTGTTAGCCAGGAGAGGGCACTAAGAGGACATACTGCACTCTTTACGGAGTACTGGAGAACATGGAGATGTGGAAAGACCCATTTCTCTTTTTTCATTTTAGGCCTTCATTTATACACATTAAGAAACTAGACATCTGTGACCACCTATTAAAAACTGCTCAATCCAGGAGTAACTTCATGATCTCCGAACTACTCTGTCAGAGGATATAAACATGAACAAAATGATAATTTTCCCTACCTCCCTCTTCCTACAAAGCTTTTTCAAATGATAAACTGCAGTAGGCTCTTCATTTGGTCCCTCTGGTTCTCTTGGCAGGTTGCTTAGGGCTCAGGCTTGGTACTCTGCAGTGTTGGTTGTCTGGATTTCCTTTTTGTTTTTTTTTTTTTTTTCTGATAAAAGTCTCTTTCCTTGCTCTCTAGGTGAACCTGATTATTTTTCAGGTGTCCGATGATCCTGGCCTTAGATGGGGACCAGAATTACAATCCAAGAGGCAGCCACCAAAACAGAATCCTAATTCAAATGAACTTGGGGATTAGTCAGTGTCAAACTGGAGAAGAAAAACTGATGGGACATTGAAGTACTCTACCTTTTCTGGATTTCTTGTTTTTCTTCTGGAAATAACTCATCACCGCAACAAAGAGAGTAAGAGGAGGAGAAAAGTCGGGATGGGAGGAAAGGAGAGAAAATATCAAGACAAGGCATCAAGTTTTATGAATTACCTACAATCCTCTGGAGAGTAAGGAACCTGGGGACAGAGGTTATTATCATTTATAAAAATGTCCCCCTCCCTACAGCCTCAGAGAATAAGGCAAAAGCAGACAAGAGGGTGAAAGTTACCTTTACAATTAACTTGTTATTGTCAGATATACTTGGAAAATTAACCTCATTTTGTGATCCACTTTGTACTTAACCAATTTTTATAGTTGCATAGTCTTTCTAAAGGGCCAAGCCCTTCAGATTACATCCTATAAGTGAGAATTTAGATATCACAGGTATTGGTTAAAGAATAACACAGAAACTGATTCAATTGGTTACTCCAAGGAAGTACAGCTACTGAAAAATTGCCAGTCTACTAAAACTCCAACTTTATTCAGGGAAAAAAAAAAAACCCAAAAACAGTATTTAAAAATTTCTAGATAACTCCCAGGACGAGTCAGTTGACAGGTGGTTCTCTTTACTGTGAAAACTATCCAATCCAGAAGTTGCAGAATTTCCTCTTAGAACCCCTATATAATACAGTACTGACAGACTAAATTAACACAGCAGGAAGCATGGAGATTCATAAGGCTGTCTCCCTGGAAACTCTTCAGGGGAATGGGAAGAATTAACTGGAACCAGGATTGGGGATTACTGAGTCTAACCTAGCCCATGTTACACAGCCCTGACAAAGCCGACCAATGTAATCTAAAAATCTTCCAAAACCAATTTTATGTAGCCCACACTTAGATTCTTATAGTGACTCTTCAACTGCAAACGATTCCCTATTAAATGTTATCCACAATCATCATAAAATAATCTTCTTCATGATAAAAATGACATGAATTCTAAAGAGTAAAACCAAGGGCCTAGATGTTGACAAAGCTATCAAAAGCAGCTTGCAACGTGGCTGTCAGGAACATCATATCAAAAACAAACCCACTGTATAAATTAACCTAAGTAACAAATCTGTATATAAAATGTAAGTTTGTAAAGGGATTTAAAATATGAGGCAAGAAATGAAAATGGTTCGCACCTGCAGTGTACAATTCTCTTTTCGTTTGAGGAACTCCACAAACCTGGCCACTACTCCCGGTGTGCTGATGACTTCATCAATAGGAGGATTAGGTTCTGTCTCCCCATAAAATAAAAGGAAAGAAGAAAATAATTCTTTCATTTCAATGCAAGGACTTTATGAGCTCAAATTTACTTCATAATATCCCTCCCTCCATTTTAGCATCTCTTTCATGTTGGAAATCTAAGAAATCAAATGTAAAATTCTAAATGTAAAATGGAGCACAGTCACTTTGAGACTAGGGTAGCTCAAAAGGTTTCACAATAAAGTACGCGTTAACATGGAAATGATGGGCAGAATTCTCAAAAATTAAAGCCATTGCTTCTATAATTTTAGAAAACTTAAGAAAGTAGGGGGGAAAACATCCAAAGATGACCACTGTTATTATTTCAGAATTCTTCCTTCTAGCTCCTTCTCTGTAGATGGGGTTTTACTCTAACAAGAAGTTGTTTTAATAAACTGGATTAGGGGACTCTGCATGTGCCTGCAGGATTTAATTTTACAGCTGCGGTGGTTAAATAGGAGCCAGAAAGAATTCATTAAGGATGACTTGCCAACTTAATCTCACTTTTCATTTACGACAACAGAGTATTTTATAAATGAAATCATTTGGTAGAAACCTGTTGGGTTAACAGAAAATGTCCTAAACAATCAACATGGTAATTTCAGCAAGAGATTTGACAAAGTTCTTGATGATATTCACAGAGCGATGCAAGAAAAACGACAGATTATAGTACTAGTAGGGATTCTTCGACAAGTCCAAAGCTTTAATGAAACAAAGGTGACTAATGGTTCAATGTTAATTTGGAGAGCGCTCTGATGACCTGTTCTTTGCCTGGTTCCACACTTTTATCAACTATTCAGGTAGTACAAATAAATTTGATGATTATAATAAAAATGAAGTAATTAATATGCTAGATTACAGAAATAACATATAGGAAGAACAACAATAAGCTGAAGTTTGCAATAAAACGACGGGGATAAAGCAGGATTTAGCAACTGAAATTTATAAAAATATTTTAAAAAATCTACATGACTTCACAGATGAATCCTAAAACACATGTGCATGAAAAGAAGTTCTATGGGAGTTTAGATGGCCGCAAATACAGTGAACCTTACTGTGCCATGACTATCAAAATAACTGCTGCTGCTATCTTGGAGTACATTACTGGAACGTACAGTCCTAGGACAAGGAAGGCAATCTGTCCCCTCACCTTAGGGTAACGAGAACACATCTGAAGTACTATATTCTAGTTACCACATTTTTTAAATGTTTATTTATTTTGAGAGAGGGCGTGCACACGCATGTGTGCCAGGGAAGGGCAGAGAGAGAGGAAGAGAGAGAATGTCAAGCAGGCCTATGCTCAGCATGGAACCCCACATGGGGCTCAATCTCACAACCCTGAGATCATGACCTGAGCCGAAATCAACAGTCGGATGCTTAACCGACTGAGCCATCCAGGTGCCCCCAGTTATCACATTTTTAAGAGGGATGGCTAGGAAACTAGAATCTAGGCAGTAAAGTAGTAGAAAGCAGCAAAAGGCCCTAAAAGGTCACATGGTGTGAGAAAGCCATTAGGCTTAGCACGCTGAAAAGAGACAAGAGTGGGAAAAGTGTACATGATAATAGCCTTCAAATATTAATAAACTGTCACACGAGAAATGTAATTTTTGTATCACACAAAAATGTAAATTATATGTTAATAGGTTTTTATTCCAGTTCCCTCAAGGAATATATTAATTTATCACTAATGACTCCAAACAACTATACCTTAGTACTGGGCCAAGGGTAGCAGCTATTTATTTAAGGTCAATGTTTACTATCAACATTTTAATGTGGTTCAGAGTCATAGTTCTGTTTACTTGCCCAGAATGGCGAAAGTATCATATTCTAGTCTACCCTAATTATACCAAAAATAAATAAATAATTACCATGCCCAGCAATAACACTGATCTTTCAAATGATATATTTTTTTAATTCTTTTTATTTTTGAGACACAGAGACAGAGCATGAGTGGGGGAGGGTCAGAGACAGAGGGAGACGCAGAAAGAATCTGAAGCAGGCTCCAGGCTCTGAGCTGTCAGCAGAGCCTGACACGGGGCTCAAACTCGTGAACCACGAGATCAAGACCTGAGCCGGAGCTGGATGCTTAACCAACTTAACCTAGGCACCTCTCAAGTGATATTTTGACAGTTTTTCTTGGGGTGCCAGGCTGGCTCAGTCAGTAGAGCATGCAAACCTTGATCTGAGGGTTTTGAGTTCGAGGCCCACATAGAGATTATGTAAAAATAAAATCTTTAAAAAAAACAAAAACACTTTGTTTTGTTTTTTTTCAAAAGAATGGAGTTTCTCAATTTGAATTAACATGAAATACTGACTACTGTTCTTATCACTTTAAGGTCTTTTATAAAATAGCTCAGAAATTAAAATAATGCTCCTTTCTGGTCCTGGTAAGATTGCATAAATAAATAAATTTGAAAATTAGCCATAGCTCATAATTATACTTATGTCTATAAGTGTCCTTTTATTCTGTTGATAGACACATTCCAAAGCAACTTACCTGTGATGTGAAAAACAGAATATGGGAAAGTAGTATTTTTTATCGAAATGAAAAAATATACAGTCAACCCCTGAACAATACAAAACTCGGGGCGCCAATCCCCACACAGTCAAAAATCCTTTTTAACTTTTGACTCCCCCAAAACTGAACTACTGATAGCCTACTGCTGACAGGAAACCTCACCAATAACATCAACAGTCAATTAACACTTACTTTGTACGTTATGTATTACATACTGTATTCTTACAATAAAGTAAACTGGAGAAAAGAAAATGTTATTAAGAAAATCATAAGAAAGAGAAAATATATTTACAATATTGTACTCAATTTATCAAAAAAGATCTGCGTTACAAGTAGACCTGCAGAGTTCAAGCCCCTGTTGTTCAAGGTCAACTGTACTTTAACATACTCAGAACTCACCTTTTGAAAGCAGTTTTCTGAATTTCTGTGTTGCTGAAAGCTGTTGCTCTGGGCTATTGGAAAATATCATTTCAATCATGTCAGAAGTAATTACACCACCCTGGAAACACAAAAAAGCAAAAATGATAAAATTTTAACTCTAAATCAAAGGAAAACAAAGACAGTATAAACTGTGGCCAACATTAAGTTAATCATATTTATCTAGAAAAGTTACACAAAGGTAGGATAATCTTTACATGTAGAAATGTCTGAAATGATCAATGATATGACAAAGCCAAATATTTTGTCTATCATTAAGGAGCTCATGGGGCAACCTGAGTGGCTCAGGTTGTGATCTCCCAGTTGTGGGATCAAGCCCTACGTGGGTTCCACACTCAGCTCTCTCCCTCTCCCTGCCCCTCCCCCATCTCTAAATAAATAAATAAATAAATAAATAAATAAATAAATAAATAAATAAATATTGTGAAAAAAGAAGCTCATGACAATAAGAAAATAATCTTATGAGTAAATACTAGGAGAAGGCGTTTATTATTCTTCCTCTCCTTGTTCATCACATGGTTGGTTGTTCCTTGTCTTTCAGACAAATTTGTTAAATTCTAAAAGAAAGCTTTTCATGGTCTCCAACTCTAAAGGAACTGCTCCATCTCTATCACTCTATTTTAATTCTATGCCAACCCTTTTCACTATCAGGTATTTTTCTCAGTTATGTGTTTACTGCCCAGATTCCTCCAGTATAGCAGATTTGTGAAAACCAAAGACCCTGTCCATCTTACTGTTCTATCACCGAAGGCTGGCATATAGAAGATGCTCAATAAATATTTATGGAGTATAGAATAATCCTGTGTAATTCACAGATTCTAGCTGCTACCAAATTCAACAGCTGACTCAAATTTACTTAAAATTTCTATTTTCTTTATTAAAACTTTTCAGTTTTCCATTATTTTCTTGCTTTCTTAGAACTTTTCCATTTTTTACTATAACCCATCCCCAATATTAGCAGTTAACCTACTTCTTAGGGTCACCTGTCAGAATGAAATAAAATTCCTGTCATTTCATGAAATATTAGAGTCAACAAGATGAACTGTGAAGAAAGCTGCACTGAGTTGTCAATGATAGCTGGTTGGGAAACAGCACTTGGGTAACAGTGCTTACCAACAGCACTGGTTGGTAAACAGCACTTTACCAAACACCTGGGAAATCCCAACTGGGAGAATGAAGCATTCTGCTCTTAACAGTCAGAAAAGTAACTACTTTGAAACTTACAAAACTGATACCTGAATAAACAAAGGTATCTATATGATTCTGTTATGAATGTCTGGATACACTTGGATATACACATTCATATTCTCTCTCTCTCTCTCTCTCTCTCTCTCTCTCTCTCTCACACACACACACACACACACACACACACGTTTTCTTCCCTCTTATTCCCTAATGTAAGATGTATTGACTTTACATTCATGGTATTTAAGTACTGTTAATTTTATATCCCAGCATTTAAGTAACAGGATATCAAGGAGAGAACTGAACATCACTCAAAGACTTTGCATCTTCTTCCGGGGAGGTTAGTACATTTTTACTTGCACAAACAATAACTATATCATGTCACATGGAGGTATAACTTTGTTATTTATCTGAGTCTCAGTATGGTTTAAGGAGTTGTGTATACATGCCAAGTTGCCAAGGAAAGTACTAGGATAGTTAATTTTATGTGTCAATTTGGTTAGGTTATAGTAGCCAGTTGTCTGAACACACATTAATCTAGATATTGCTGTAAGAATAATTTTTAGATGTGATTAACATTTAAACTAGTATAATCAAGTAAAGCACATTACTCTCTAAAATGTGAGTTGGCCTCAATCAGTCAGTTGAAGAAGGTCTTAAGAGCAAAGACCGGTTTCCTGAAGAAACTTAAGCCTCAAAACTACATCAACACTTACCTGAATTTCCAGCCTACTGACTTGCCCTACGGATTTTGGACTTACTAGCTCCAACAATTACATGAGCCAATTCCTTAAAATCAACCAATCAATCTCCTACAGGTTGTTTCCTCTATAGAATCTTAGTATTATAATCCATGAAATACTTCATATTAATATCCACTTAAAAAAATGGACAGTTTGACTTTCTGAAGGGCCTAGAAGAATTCACCACAAAATCAGTGTTGGTTGGGGCACCTGGGTGGCTCAGTCGGTTAAGCATCCAACTTCGGCTCAGGTCATGATCTTGCGGTTCGTGAGTTCAAGCCCCGCGTCAGGCTCTGTGCTGACAGCTCAGAGCCTGGAGCCTGTTTCAGATTCTGTGTCTCCCTCTCTCTCTCTGACCCTCCCGTTCACGTTCTGTCTCTCTCTGTCTCAAAAATAAATAAACGTTAAAAAAAAATTTTTTTTAAATCATAGTGTTGGCTACAATGTCTATCTACATAGATTCCAAAATTATTTAAACAGCTCTAATTAAAAAAAAAAAAAAAAAAAAAAAAAACGGACCATAAAAACTAGAGATCTATGAAGTAGAAAAATATATATAGGATACTGTGCAGAATATGTCACAATTTGCTTAAAAGGGGAGGAGGAAGAAAACTTATTTTCTCAAGAAGAATAAGAATCCAGTAACAGTGGTTGCAAATGAAGAAAGAAATTGGGTCACTGAGGTAGAAGAAAGATTTTTTTTTTGAAAACTACATATGATCTATTAAAACATACTGATTAATGAGAAATCTATACAGGTATCCATATAAACAAAGCATAATTTTTAGATCCTCATGTAAACGTCAAGAAAGTTATAAAACAGGTTGTAATAGAAAAGCCAACAGCTGTGATATGGAACCAATTTTTAAAATCATATAAACGTGCCCAATTTGATAACTGAAATGAATAACAAACTGGGATTTTCTTTAAAGTAGCCCTTGTTATTCAACTTTTAAGGAATAATTTTACAATTATCTTTTTAAGTTTTAAAAGCTGAATTAATCTTCACAATTTAGTTAATTCAGTTTAACTGTATATTATTCAAACTATAAAAAACATCTAATGAACCAGGATATTAAGTATATGGCCTCTTTTCAAAAATGAAATGCCAAGTAATTTCTGTAGCCATTTACTAACCGCTTTTTAAAAAACCCAAATAGAAAGCTAAGCCTCATATCTTCAGAAACATACTAAAAAGAGTTTCTTTCATGATCTTACTTACTGGTGCCATCTCCATGTTATTAATCTGAGCCTCATGGAAGCCTCCATCTGACATAACTTCTTCTTCTGTTTCTTCCTCTGCTGTAGCAACATTTCTTCGCTTGAATAACTAAAAAATAAAAAATCATTACCAAGTATTCTAATACAAAGGAGTTAAACATCAAAAAACTAGGCTCCCCACTTAAAAGGCAATAAGGAAAAGATGGAGCTTTTTGAAAATCATTTTAAAAATTCTAAAGGTTGTGCCACCTTCAACTTTCATGATGAGGAACTAGTTCAGAATTCTCCAGTCTTATAATCTAATGCAATTAACAATCACAATATGCTGTTACCAACACCTGATGTGGTAAAACTTACTAAGAGAAGCCTAACACTGCACGACATATAAAAAGAGTAACGGTGAAAAAGGAGTCGAGGCATGCTTGGCCATTCCCCTTTCCTTTACGTGAAGTTGGTAACACTATAGTCTTACCAATACATCGTGGGAAATGATAACAATGATGTCAGAATGGCTTAATACTTCCCTCCTAAACCTCAAAAATAATGGACTGAGACTTCACAACCTTTCTAACCCGTCCAACAACCAGTGATGACATGTGACTACTACCTGAACACTAACTTTAAATCGTCAATTTGTGTAGGCCAAGAATATTTCTACCTAAAGGGAGCCACTAAGGTGTCTCATTGTATCTTTTTTTTTTTTAATGTTATTTTTGAGAGAGAGAGACAGACAGAGCACAAGCGGGGGAGGGGTAGAGAGAGAGAGGAGGAGACACAGACTCAGAAGCAGGCTCCAGGCTCTAAGCTGTCAGCCCAGAGCCCAATATGGGGCCCAAACTCACGAACCGTGAGATCATGACCTGAGCCGAAGTCAGACATTCAACTGACTGAGCCACCCAGGCGCCCCTCCGTTATATCTTCAATAGTCCCAGGCAGTTCACTTGTTCATCAAACCATGACGGAGGACCAATAACTTATCCTCTCACCCTATGCAACCCTGTCTAAAAGCAGACAAATGCATAAAATAACAGGTTTCGGCCAATGGATAAGAGGCAGACCAGGCATTGATCCTTCAGAAAAGAAAAGAAGTAAGATTGGCCCTATGACTGCCTCAGATTATTACCTATACAGAGTTTTCAGGCTGCAGCACAGGGAAGACAACACCCAAACAGGGCCTACAGGCTCACTCAGTTGAGCAGACAGAGTTTAGAAATGAGGAGGCCAAGACAACTAGAATCCACAGGCAGAGTAATAAACAGATCAATATAGAGAGAATTCTAAAAATCTGCAGAAAGTTCCCCATGAGTCTTTAGCTTCCTGCTAATAAGCACAGGTGTGTAAGGAAAAGCTGGGAAAGGAATCACCCCCAACAAACATGCAGAACAATTTTGACAGTTATATCAGTCAAGAGATATTCATGTTTCAACCAGATAGAAAAGACTTAGGGTACCTGGGAGGCTCAACTGGTTAAGCATCGACTCTTGATTTCGGCGCAGGTTGTGGTCTCACAGTTTGTGGGATCAAGCCACATGTCAGGCATACGCTGACAGCAGAGCCTGCTTGGGGTTCTCTCTCCCTTTCTCTCTGCCCCCTCCCTCAAAATAATAAACTTAAAAAAAACACACACACACAGAAAACACTTCCTAACATATAAAGGGCATTTAGTACAACACTCAGAAGGAAATGGACCCAGCACTAAAGCTAAATTAGCCCCTGGATTAAAGGCATATTGGGGCACCTGGGTGGCGCAGTCGGTTAAGCGTCCGACTTCAGCTAGGTCACGATCTCGCGGTCCGTGAGTTCGAGCCCCGCGTCAGGCTCTGGACTGATGGCTCAGAGCCTGGAGCCTGTTTCCGATTCTGTGTCTCCCTCTCTCTCTGCCCCTCCCCCGTTCATGCTCTGTCTCTCTCTGTCCCAAAAATAAATAAACGTTGAAAAAAAAAATTTAATAAAAAAAATTAAAAAATAAAAAAAAATAAAGGCATATTAAAGTTCCAGCCCAATGAAACGTAAAAACAAATGTTACAAGTAATTTACTAAACCCAATGACAAATTCAGAACTATATGTATTTAAAGATACAAGAACTCCAACAACAAGCAAGATAAAATTCACAATTCTTAGAATTCAATTGGAAACTACGAAGCGCTAAAAAGAAGAGAGAAAAATTAATCAAAATCACCTAGAAATGACAAAAACGGCAAAATGGAAAAGAGCATTATAAATGTTGTTATATATTCCACATATTTGAAAGGTAAAAGTACAGCCATGAGGAGAGGAAGAGATGAACAAAAAGGCTAAGCAAATAACCTAGACATGAAAAATAAAATTTTTCAGATGAAAAGCACACTGGATAGCATTAACAGCCAATTACATATTGCAGAAGAAAAAATTAGTGAATTTAAGGACATAGCAATATAAACACTCCAAAATAAAAGAGATGGAAAAAAGACTGAAAAAACTGTACAAAATATAAGTCAGTTGTGGGACATCAAGTGGCCTAACACACATGCACTGGAGTTCTAAGATTGGGGTAGGGGAATATATTTGGAAAATGGCCAAAAAAAATTTTTTTTTAAATTTCAAGTTTTTATTTAAATTCCAGTTAGTTAACATTATAGTATATTAGTTTCAGGAATAGAATTTAGTGATTCATCACTTACATATAACACCCAGTGCTCATCAAAACTGCCTTCCTTAAAACCCATCACCCATTTAATCCATCTCCCCCCACAACCTCCCTTCCAGCAATTCTCACTCTGTTCCCTATGTTTAAGAGTCTGTTTGATGGTTTGCCTCTTTTTCCCTCCTACGTTCATCTGTTTCATTTCTTAAATGCCACATGAGTGAAATCATACAGTATTTGTCTATGACTTATTTTGCTTAGAATAATACACTCTAGCTCCATCCACTTCATTACAAATAGTACGACTTCATCTTTTTTATTGCTGAGTAGTATTCCATTGTACATATACACCACATCTTCTTTATCCATTCATCAGTCAATAGACATTTGGACTCTTTCCATAATTTGGAATTCATTCATGTTTTCTGTCCATTTCTTAACTGGATTATTTGACTTTTGGGTGTTCAGTTGTATAAGTTCTTTACAGAGTTTGGATTACTAACCCTTTATCAGATATGTCATTTGCAAATATCTTCTCCCATTCTGAAGGCTGCCTTTTAGTTTTGTTTCCTTTGCTGTGCAGAAGCTTTTACCTTGATAAAGTCCAAATAGTTCATTTCTGCTTTTGTTTCCCTTGCCTCCAGAGACATGTCAAGTAAGAAGCTGCTATGGCTGATGTCAGAGAGGTTGTTGCCTGTGTTCTCCTCCAGGAATTTGATGGTGTCCTGTCTCACATTTAGCTCACTCATCCATTTTGAATTTATTTTTGTGCATTGCCTAAGAAAGTGGTCCAGTTTCATTCTTCTGCTTGTCACTGTCCAGTTTTCCCAACACCATCTGTTGAAGAGACTATCTTTTTTCTATTGGATATTCTTTCCTGCTTTGTCAAAGATTAGTTGACCATGTAGTTGTGGGTCCATTTCTGGGTTTTCTATTCTGTTCCATTGATCTATATTTATATTTTTGTGCCAGTACCATACAATCTTGATCACTACAGCTTTGTAATATAACTTGTAGTCCAGAACTATGATGCCTCCAACTTTGCTTTTCTTTTTCAAGAGTGCTTTGGCTATTCAGTGTCTTTTTTGTTCTACAGTTTTCAGAGTACAGATCTTTTACCTCTTTGGCGGGTTTATTCCTACGTATCTTGTAATTCGGGTGCAACTGTAAATGGGATCAATTCCTTGATTCTCTTCCTGCTGCTTCATTATTGGTATATAGAAATGCAACAGATCACTGTATGTTGTTTGCACCCTGTGACTTTACTGAATTCATATATTAGTTCTAGCAATTTTCTGGTAGAGTCTTTTGGGTTTTCTACATAGAGTATCATCTCATCCGCAAATAGTTATAAAGTCTGACTTTTTCCCTGCTGATTTGAATGCCTTTTATTTCCTTTTGCTGATTGTTGAGGCTAGGACCTCTAGTACTATGTTAAATAACAGTGGTAAGAGTGGACATCCCTTTCTTGTTCCTGAACACAGAGGAAAAGCTCTCATTTTTTCTCCATTGAGGACGATAGTAGCTGTGGGTCTTTTGTATACAGCCTTTATGATGCTGAGGTATGCTCCCTCTATCCCTATTTTGTTGAGGGTTTTTATCAAGAAAGGATGCTGTACTTTGTCAAATGCTTTCCCTGCATCTACTGAGAGGATCATGTATTTCTTATCTTCTTTAATAATGTGGAGTATTACACTGATTCATTGAGAATATTAAATCATCCTTATTGCCCAAGGATAAATCCCACTTGATTGTGGTGAATGATTCTTATAATGTACTGTTGGATTTGATTTGCTAGTATTTTATTGAGAATTTTTACATCCATGTTCAGCAGGGATACTGGACTGTAATTGTCTTTTTTAGTGGGATCTTTGGTTTTGGAATCAAGGTAATGCTGGCCTCACAGAATGAGTATGGAAGTTTTCCTTCCATTTCTATTTTTTGGAACAGTTTGAGAAGAACTGGTATTAACTCTCCTTTAAATGTTTGATAGAATTCCCCTGGGAAGCCATCTGGCCCTGGACTTCTGTTTATTAGGATATTTTTGATTACTGATTCAATTTCTTTGCTGGTTATCTGTTCATGTTTTCTATTGTTCCTGTTTCAGTTCTGGTAGTTTACATGTTTCTAGGAATTTATCCATTTCTTTTGCATCGCCCAATTTGTTGGCATATAGTTTTTCATAATATTCTCTTATAAGTGTTTTTATTTGTGGTATTGGTTGTGGATCTCCTCTTTCCTTCATGATTTTATTTGGGTCCTTTCTCTTTTCTTTTTGACAAGTCTGGCTAGGTGATTATCAATTTTATTAATTTTTTCAAAGAACCAGCTCCTGGTTTCGCTGATTTGTTCCACTGTTTTTTGTTGTTGTTGTTATTATTTCTGTATCATTTATTTCTGCTCTAATATTTATTATTTCCCTTCTTCTGCTGGCTTTAGGCTTCATTTGTTGTTCTTTTTCTAGCTCCTTTAGGTATAAGGTTGG